TCCTCCTCTGACATTTCATTTCTCCCTTGTTTCTGCTGCAGCGCTCGCAGCTGAGGATGTGGATCAGGTACTCAACACACCGTCTGCAAAACATACACTCGAACAAACTCCCCTTCAGAACCATTTTGATCCAGTTACCTCTCCCACATCCGTCCATAGACGGTCCTGTCGATTCTCTAGGCCTTCACCCAGTCGAAGGACTCGTCACTTCAATCCTGCACATGCACATTCCTCCAGCATGACGCATAATACTGAACCCCTCAAAGCAACGCGACCCAACACCTCACTGAGACCTCGCCTGTTCTGTCCGTCTGAACGATCGGAAAAAGTGGCGGTCGATTCAGAGAGCACTGAAACCGGATCTGAGGCTGAACAGTGCAGCCAAATCTGCCGGAACGAGGAGCGCCTGGTTAGGTATAAGGCAAAGCGTCAGCGGTTCATTTTGCTGGGTGGACGGAAAGAATTCGTTGAGGAACTTGACGAGAAGACCAGTGATGAGGAACTGAGCTATCCCAATCCAGCTTACGAAGGTACAAAACGGAGACGCACCACATTCCATTCCGATGACGCTCAGGCCAATGCTGAGCCCTGGTGGCCGCACAAGAAGTCACCTCGAGTGACCAGTGTCAACCTTGATACCAGACATCCGGAGTTTCAGCGCATACAGACTCGACCGTTCGAAGCAGACGTCAACCAGGACTCTCACTCGAATCCTGAAAGTTCTGCTGACCCAGCAGCTGCAACGACAGTCGTCACCACCAACGTGCAGTCGAATTTCAGAAGGAATAGAAAGCAATTTGAACTGTGGGAATTCATTTTGCGATCACTGAATTCACGAAAGAGTTCGGCATTTCAGTGGGTCAATCAGTCGGCTGGTATATTTAGGATAACTGACACACGTCAGGCGGCTCGCGAGTGGGGTCGTTATCGAAATAATTCGCGCATGAACTACGAGAAGATGGCCCGCGCCATGAGGCAAGTCAACTTTCTAGAACTTGCTACTACTTGTTATTTGAGTAGGCTGGATTAATTTTCTGGGAACATCGACCAGCAGACATGTCCGCCGTCTAATTTTGAGGAAGGCGTTGAGTTTGTATATTTTTACCCATTTAGCGAGAAGTGGAAGTTTACTTTTTACTTGAGGGGAAATATGTAGAAAAACTATTTTGCGTAAGACTGCTTCGTTTGAAGCAGCCTAACTTTTTACAATGGATGTAGCTAATTCTCAATGCCCTGCCATAACAGATAAAAACTGGTGGTTAAGATTCGCTTGCTCACATCTAGCCTTGTTCGTTATTTCATTAATCCTGAAGCTGTTCAGGCTATAGTGCCTAGACATTCGCACTCACTGGTGCACATCTACTTCTTCAAGAAAACTTTTGGAATTACAAAGTTGTCCCTATAGCAGGCAAACATGGCGCTCATGATGTTCTGATCTGCAAAACTCACTGTTGAAGTACGAAAAAATTCGTCTTTCCAGTCCTTATCGAGTTGTCGTGGTTTCATTCTACTATCCAAAATAAGTCCCGAAAGGGCACTCCTGAAAACTGACGTAGGGCGTTCATAACTAACAAAAACGATAGAAGATTCGCTTAAGAGTGCTCTGCTTGTGTGAATGAAGGACAGCTATCTATACCAGCGTTATCTACATACTAGCGCAAAAATACGCTGAAAGGGATAATACTTCTATGCAAAACCGAAAAACTATGTTAAACTCTGCATCAACAGAGCTCACTTCGAGCAGGGAAGACAATGCAAAAACCATGCGATATTTTGCTTTTTTAGTTTTCATTTCTACCTTTAAAAAGAGTTTATGGCCGACAACGGTGTTTATCTACAGTTACAAGCAAATAAATGTTTAGGCACAGGCTCTGATCACAAAAGTCCGCTTAAGAGCTAAACACAACGTATTCGCAGGCAGTAAAACCGACGTTAACAAGGACGGCAGGTTCTCCTTATCCGGCGCAGTACACTCCACCTTTAGCCTTCGTATATATTCGGGGTGGTAACGTCTCCTGTTCAAAATTCCATAGCTTTTCATTGGTTCTTAGGAACGAAGCATGTATAACTCACTAAGTCTCATCCCAGTAAAATTAAAGAATTAGGCGAGGGTTCTTGCTGTGCTACTTTGGCTGTTTCAAATGAGTGGTGGGCATATGCCCACAGTCTTTGTGATTGGATGGGACAGTAGGTGACGTAACTAAAGAAATATGAGTAAATTTGCAAAAACTTCCCTGATAGATCTGAAAGCCGTAGCACCTCACGCATGTATAAGCCTCCCATCTCTGGAACCTACTCTGCTACGGATCACGTGACCACGACGCCTGAGTGACCGGGACATGAGCGCATGCAATCTCTTGGACAGCCAATCGCAGGGGTCCACAGACTCTGTAATCGTCCAACCAACTCACCCAGCTGGTGCTACCTGACTTTCATACGACAGTTACACTGTCGTGAACGACGGTATCCACCGTGTGCCCCTCAGCAGGGTGGGTGCAGGAATGGTCACTTGCGCGTGATTTGGTTTATATTAATGGTAGGCTTGCGCACCTTCTACCGCACTCCCTTCTCCCCCGCTCTCCTGGGCTCCCTGTCAGGACAGAGTTAAGAAGCTCGGAAGCAGGATCGGACGGAGTGGCTGATAAAACCTTACAGCCCGCCTAGGCACGTCACACGCCTGGTTCACGCGTAGGAACTAGAGTTCCCAGAGATACGTAGTTGATCGGCTCGGATCGCAAATGAGCGGAAGTACCATAGAAGCCGCATTAAACAGGAGCCGTTGCAGCCTGACTCTCCGTCCTGAGAGAACCGAATTATTCCGTTAGTTGGCACCCTTCCAAACCAATGGTTTTAGCGCACCGTGATAGTTTAAAAGCGCGTCAGATTATGTACAGGGAGAAATATGTCCTGCTTGCCATTGAGACGCAGTCCCCAGCGTCAAATTCCATCTCACTTTCCCCCCGCCCAGACATCAATCCACTGTCGGAGCCGGTCAGTCATCTGGTACGGGGATAAGGCGCGATATACAGTGGTGGGCTAACTCATGAAATCTCAACAGAAATTCCGAAATGCATTTCCGTTTCGGAAAGATTAATTAAGTAGGGTTGTAAAACGAATCCTCATGCAGAGCAATTCTATAATAATTCATTTACCACAGGACGCTGGCTTTCGAACAAACTTTCGGGCTGCATGCAAAAACCATACTCCGTAAAAAATGACTGCTTAAGTAACATGCATTCTTTCGTTAATTTTCGATGCCCTTAAAGATTCAATTATATTTCATGAAAAGCATGCCTAAAAATATTTACTCTTTTGCTCACTCAGTAGAAAATCGCATCTTTCACTTTTACCCTCGAAGGGAGGGTCATATTGGGCATTGACAGAATTTTTAAAAGTTAAGGTAAAATGGCCTAAAGTATGCCACTCAAACAAATCGTTAATGAAAGAGTAATCTACTAGGGAGAGTGAGGCAGTTGGATGGCGTGCTAAACCACCAGGTTAAATTAACTAGGATGTGTTACAGGATAGACGACTAAGAAAAGTCCATTTGGGCGCCGGTTCTAAAACACTCCTTAAGGTCTCTCTGCCAGTAGCAATACCTCAATTTTTAGAGGGATAAAACAGTGAGACACAATTCTAGACCTTACCTCCTGACATTTCCAACATTGGGAGTAAACGAACCTTGGTGTCATTAATACACAGTTGACAAGATACCAGTCCTCGTCTTCTTTACTTGCCGAGGTTTTAATATCTTTTCAAAGTTTATCCAAGCATGCACACTGTGAACGACTTTTCTCCTGTTATGTAAAATTCTCAATCAAATTTCAACCCACTTTATTCTATCTCTTGGACTGGTTGTTGACTGTCCGGTGTATTCAGAAAGGACATATAGTGAGCCACCTGTCAACAGATCTGACTGCATAAAAGGTCCCCGAGCAGTAATCATTGAAATCCTTCTTTAAAAGACATGATTACTTTCACGATGAAATGAATTTATTCCTAACAGAACTCCTAACTGCAAGGACATTATTCATACTGTCATTAGTTGTGCCGGCTAAAATCACCCAGGTCGACGATTCCAAAGAGGTACCTATTACCCGAACTGGGATCACCAGAGAGGGCAAACGAAGACTTGGACGCAAACGCCATTAACTAGATCAACCCTTTCTCTCTCATGGGCATGACGAGTAAATTTTCTAGAAACCAACATTACGAAGGTTGTTTTTTCCTCCTCCTCCTCCTCCTCCTCCTCCTCCTCCTCCTCCTCCTCCTCCTCCTTTTGGCACTGCAGTTATTTTTTTCCCTTCCCCTAATTCCGCGTTTTTTTTGTTCACGCAGGTTCTACTACAAGAACGCGATGCTCAGAAAAGCGCAAAAACAACTCCACTTCCAGTTTGCAATGTCCTTTGTCGAATGGTCAACACGACAGTTGACCACGGCAAAAATGGGGGCTAGAGAGGGCTGTGAGACAGTGCCTGAGTCATTGGTGCCAAATCCTTAACTGGCCGACCGAAGTGACCTCGCCGGTCACGCCCGCTACCTGCATTCAAACAAAGTCCTTTAATATGTATTTTCGAGTGTATTTACCTCAGTTACCGACTAGCACATATTTGCTACGGGCCAAACAACACTGCCTCCTAAAATTCCAACTGAGGATTGAGAACGGTGATAGCAAAAAGTCCTAACTGAGCCTGCTTGGACGTGAGAGGTAGTAGAGAATCAACCTGCCGAATATCTAGAGGTAAATAGTGTCACTGTAAACAAACTTGAATAGCCACTTAAGACCCAACTAGACAGGTCCATCGAAACATCTGAACCCAGTAAATAAGGGTCACCCACGGGGATATGGATCTCCCCCGTATTACAAGTGAGTTTTCCCTAAATTTCAGTGGGTGTTAGGGTTAGGAGACCAGAATTACGACAGGTGAGTATGTGTCGAATTAAGAAGCTTTTGCGAGAGTTCCTAATGGTCGACAGCACGAAGATTCCCAAATGACAAGTCAGGGAAGACGGCCCGTGTAGTAGGGGTAGTGGTGGTGGTGGTGGTGGTAGTAGTAGTAGTTGTTGTTGTTATTGTTGTTGTTGTAGCAGTAGTAGTAGTAGTAGTAGTAGTAGTAGTAGTAGTAGTAGTAGTAGTAGTAGTAGTAGTAGTAGTAGTAGTAGTAGTAGTAGTAGTAGTAGTAGTAGTAGTAGTAGTAGTAGTAGTAGTAGTAGTAGTAGTAGTAGTAGTAGTAGTATAGGCCAATTCGGGTAGCATAATTCTGCCGAGGTGCGATGGCCCACAACGACAACATTCCCAAATCAGAAGTCAAACAGTCGGAGTTAATAGGGCAACTTTGAGTGGCGCACGAGAACGTACAAGCGATTCAAAAGGCAGTGGCGGTAATTTTTCAACCATGATGTTGTTGTGAGTGCATATACAGGGGACGTAGGTGCGCCTAAGTTTTGTCCGGATACTGGCGATCGTTAACGAGGAAAGTATCGATCGGCCTCACGGCGTCGACCGGTCGAAGGCTGAGCCATACGCAGCGTAAGCAGTAAACTGGCAAGGCACTTTCGTTCGATGTCGCCACGACAAGTAGACCGCCACAATCTCGCCAGAACGTTTGCTCACCTCGAAGCCTGCTTATTATACAACTGGAAGGCATTGAGGGAGGGGTAAAAGCCTTTGAGGCATACGCCGAAGCAAACCATCCCCCGGCTCTAAAACCGTTACACCCGACTCACTGTACGACTGCTCCGCAGTGAAGAATACGCAGAATTTAAAATTGCAGAAAAGCACTGAAGACGTAAATGACCTTGCAACAGCATATGAGCCACTTTTGGCTTGTTTGCCGTCGCCAAACAGCAATGCCTCAATCCCAGATTGGGAAGATCTGTGACGACTTGTATAGAGGATGTGCCTTAACCACCACAGTAGTCGGGATGTATCTCGTGTTGGAAAAAAGGGGAAAGACACCACTAAGAGGGGTGTATTCTGTACAGAGGTCAGAGCTCTCGACGCGTTGTCGTCCCTGGAGATGCGCGCGTGTCTCCGCCAGAGCAACGAAATGTCGTGTGTGAGTTGGTCAGTGTCAGCTCACTAGGGTCTGTGGTTGCGTGCCTGCAACGTTCCATCCGGCCGTGAGCCATGATCACATGATTCCTACTGCGGCGTAAATGGTAGGTTTATACGTGCTGGAGGCTCTACAGATCCGCAACTCGAAACCGACCTTTTTGACCATTGAGCCAGACACTCCGCCATTAATTAACTGGCTCACGTTCTGCTACGTTGCAACCAGGAATATTCAAAGCTATGGGTGCATTCACTGGACTATAGCATATTTTTTTGACTCATTTGACGTGAACCCAAACGAAAAGGCGTTCCAGGAGGCAATTGAGAAGGAGATGCGATCGCTGAAACAACAATTTTATTAACTCACCTTCCGGATCCTCGCTTGGGCCCAGCATCGTCGAGAGTTATAAAGGTCATAGGCGAAAAACACCGAAAGAAAACGTCTGGAGTCGTCTGCCGGACCTGAGGCAGTTACGGGCATATGAAATACTTCTGAGAAACTGGGCTATCGCTTTGGACGCGGATGGTCAAGGATGCAGCAGTAGTGGGGAGAATTACGCCAGTTCCCAGATCGCGGTTCATTTGACGGAACCCTGTCACACCTTTAAATCCGGCAAGGCGGAATTTCTCCCAAAAGTGAAGAAAACGTAAACCAGGAGCTGTCTGATTCATGGTTCTTCGGCCCATAATCGAGCACCAAGCACGATAACTCTCCCCCCCCCCTCCGCATCCACTTCCTAGACCCTGCCTGAGAAGAGTGGCTGGTCAAGGGTGAACGCGCAGGCAGGCGCGACTTCAAGTGACAGTGGCAGCAAGCCAAGTCGCCGTCACTATGACGTCAGTAACTAAAACAGCGGCGAAACCTGTCAATTAACGATTCGGATGCGAACGAGCGAGCAATTACCGCACCAAGTGCGAGCATGTGCTACGAGATCATGAGCTGTTAATTATGATAAGCATGATGCGACATGAAAATTGCATTCTTAAACACTGCACCCTCTGTATCTTCATCCCCTTATCGGTAGCTGTCTCTAAAGATGGATGGGGGAAATAATCCGAAGCGTCAGACGCATAAAATTTTTGTTCCAGCAATCGTATCTCCGTCTTATATGACGTCATCCGCCAGTCCTATGACCGAGAAAACTTGAAATTTGACCCCTAATATTTGTGTTCTGTCCTGGAAGTGGCTGACGGCAGGGAATTCCAGTCCAACGAAAATTAGATCTCAAAATAAAGGTTTGATCAAACGTTAACTATCTCGATGCTCGCAGTCACCCTTTTTTTCCTCGGTAACACGCTAGCACTTCTACTTGGCTTACCATTTAATTGCGTGAACATGCCCTTTACGCTGTATGGGGGCTACCCAGCAGTGTAAATACGTGCCAACAAGTTTTTGTTTGCATAACCTTTCTCAACAATCGTTGGTCAAAAGCAGTCAGTTATAATCACTTCAGATAGTGGAAATCGAGTTTCCGGCCGGCAAAATCCCGATAGCCAGAGGCGAACTGTATTTTATCTGATAGTTAGATCCCAACTTTCGTAATGCAGATCACAGATCTGACTGATACGACTCCTGGGGAGAGGGGGGACGACGGCCACAACATGCTGCCACCCGAAAAAATGCTTTCTAGCATTTAATGGGCAGGCTATTTACAAACCGAAACTGAGAAATGCTAATTGCCACAAGGGAAGACGGACCTTTGTATGTATTACAACCGACCAATCAGAGAACATTATTTGTTGTAATTCGAGATCGGATGACCGAAGGCATTTGACTGAACAGCCAAGGTTGCGTTTTAGAAGAAAATCGATCACGTAGTTGTCGCGATCCATCGAAACGAAAAGTTAAGTTAATTTATATCATGGAAAGAGAGTGAATAGGAGCATTATAATCAAGAGGAATGGTTAAGGGCAGACAGACCTGATGCTGAAATATGAAGTTATAGGTAGTAATTCTCCACTGATATCTTTGAGAAGACGAATAGGAACCATAAAGATGCGTGCTGATATTTGAGCTAGAATATTAAGACGCGCAAACTTATTCCAGATTGTGAGCCAACTTTCCTCCAGCTGAAAACAGATATTCCTCGATAATCGGAAATACAGTCTATTCAGTGTTGGGCTGAATGCATTCAACACTGATTGATCTAAATAGTCCGCCTGCTCAAGGACATAGTCTATCTCCGAGGGATCTCCCTCTTTTATGACTGCAAGGCATCGGTAATAGGCGGAAAGAACGAGGCTGTTTGGCAATCCACTTGAGTTCATTACTTCCCATCCATCATTTGGCCGTTTTCTTCAGTCAAACACAAGAGTTCAAATAAGGTACAGGGGGCCATAATCAACTGTTTCCGATACGACCACAACAATGACAAAATGGCATAATTCGGTATGCATCTCGTGCCCGTAATCTCGGGTGTAGCAGATGAACGTCCCGCCTGCATCGGATTCAAATGCAGTCGTGATGTTCTGTCATGATCTCAGTGTGCAAGTCAACGCGTGGTCACTCTCGATGGGATATAAAACAAGCCAGAACTCAAGTTACCAAGAAGAGCAGGACACTTCCATTGCCGTCTAGACGCGATCGGTCCCCCACACAAAATGCCTCAAATCCACCGCCAATTTAAAGTGTGAGCATAATTAAAGAGGGGACTATCTGGGTTTACTTACCTGAATTCTGGGGGTGTTTGTGTTGTGCAGTAAGGTTCAACCCTGCAACGCTGTCATGTCTGGGCCAGTTCTCAAGGTTGCTGTTTAACCAAGATAAAGGCTTGTTCACTCAGCGATGGTGCAATCTCCCACTCCCGACTGGTAGCATATTTGTTACGCCGTCGCACAAGGAAGGTTCATGGCATTATGCAAATGTCTGCGCATTAGTTGGTCGGCCTTGTAACTAGTGCAGGCTAATAGCCCGAACAGCGCAACGAGGAATTACCTCATCTACTTAAACGGTGGGTCGCATCATCGATGCACAACATGGTCCCTACCTAAGGGTTTATCTAAAATTATCAGGTAGGCGAACGAACATCGGTGACGCGGGGCATTTATGGTCCAGACTGTGCAATTCGACTGCAGGCAGGCGCTTGGCTGCACCTCACACGAGTGTCTCATATGCTATGCACCTCAGTTGCATGTCTCAGGACTGCGTGGCGGCGACGCGAAGCGTTCCGCCTTGTGAAAAATGATACGACCTTTCAGAGAAAATCCTACACACGCCGTCATTTCGTGGTTCTTTTCTTCCTTCCACACGAGGGCTGTCAATAGTCCCTGGGTACTATTTCTCTCGTCTGAGCATAGGTCTGTGTATTTTGTACCCTTCGAACGTTTTATTCTGAAGAAAAAAGAGCTTCATTACATCAGCTTACGTTTTCTGCCGTCCCCTCTAAGAATGTATGCAAACGATGCAGTGAAAGAGTTGTCGGTGGACGCGGCAGCATTTTAGAATGATTTCTAATGGGACTATTGACTTTTGGGGAACGGAGCAAAAACACGGAACTGGAGCTATAGGTGGTGCGTGAAGCCCATGAAACAGTCAGAGTGGATTCGAAAATGAAGAGTATCCCCTGGCAGGACTTTCACAGCATAATTGCCAGTGCCAAAAATGATCGTGATATATGGGTGCAAAAATAAAGCGTTTCTAACGAGCCACCAAAGGTGCACTCGTGATCGCATCATTGGGGGCTATCAGCCGTTATCCTAGTTAACTTAGACGTCAACAGGATCCAGAGACTAACTTTCTGTTTATCGATATGAACTGAAGGGGTTGAAGTCATAGCTCCGAGGGCATGAAACCTACAACAAATGTAACCAGACTAGCCAAAAGGTAGCACTGAAATGAAGACTCGAGCGTACCTAATCATCCTATCTACCTTAAATTAGCTTCCTTTTCCTTGCAGCCAGGACGTGCGTGGCCTCATTGTCCCATGTTAGATGGTGATTCGTCTCTACCTCGAAATGATCTATGGGTAGCTCTACGAAATCGAGTAAAGAATAGGCGGAAATTAGAGGATAAATCCGGAACCCCTGTGTCGGCATCTCGCTTTTATGAGAAAGTCAGAGGCTCTCCCTGCGGTCTTTGTCAAGACTTCGCTTTCAATCAGCGTCTGGGCAAAAAGGTGCTCGCAGGGTGTAAAGTGGTTAGACCGGATGCCTAAATCCCACACCCTCTACAGTCCGACCGTCGTTTCGGACGATGTCCACCGTGGGCTCCACAGCAAGGTGAGAGCAGGAACGGTGAATATTGCGTGATTCAGTCTATAATGAATGTAGACTTGCACAGCGTATACCGCACTCTCTCCTCCCCCACCTGGACCCGGTGTAAAGACATACTCAAGAAGGCCGAAGGCGGGGGAGCGTGCAGGTGGATGGCGCAGTCGAGCCCGCACCTTGGCGTCCCACACCAAACCCCCTGGTCCACACAGCAAATGACCAGGATTTTAATCAATAACAAAAGGACGGCTGGCATGGCCGGAGCCGCATCTAGGCGTGACGTCACATCTGGCTCGGATCCCACGGAGTGACAGTGTCATAAAGGCCACATTAAGGAGCCATTGCAGACTGACTCTTACACCACTAGCCGGTCACTCCACACAAACTCACAACACTGTGCCGACTTCGCAGTTCAAGTCATTTTGTCAGTTGGAAACCTTCCAGACCACGGCCTTTGGCGCACCGCTATAGCTTCCGGTGTGTCAGATTGCATATAAGTACCGTAGGTCACGTTTAGAAGGAGTCTTTTCAGCCTGGCTCTCAGCCCAACAGTCTGCCACATTGAGACAGTTCTACCTTCGATTCCGACGATGTCCACCGCGTGCTACACGCCAAGGTGCAGCAGGCACGGTGACTTGTGCGTGAACTAGTTCAAAGTGATAGTGGACTTGCGCAGCATCCACCGCAACCTCAATTCCTCACTCTCCACTTGGACTCGCTGTCAAGACAGTGTCAAGAAGACCGGGGCCTCCAAACGAGGATATGGTCCAGCAGGTGCAAATGTAGCGACCGAGGGTGCATCCAAGTGGCCTTCCCTCGCATCTGGAGGCGGAACAAGGTGCTGGTCAGGATGAGTCGGAGTTCTGCGCAGGTTCGTAGGTGGAGCAGATCATTGCCATTGGAGCCGTCGAGACCATTGGGACTCAGCACTCCTCTCTAGGCAGCATGGTCTGCGCCGACGCGGACGTCGGAGTCGCCAAGGACAACCAACTTATCCGCCTTCGGCACAGACGCCAGGAGGGCGTGCAAGTCCCCGTAGAATTTGTTCCTTGCCTCGTCAGGGCTGGTCATCGGGGGAACGTAGACATTGGCGATGGTGGCGAATTTGCCTTCCTGGAGAGGCAGGTGGAGGCTCATCAAGCGATCATTTATACCCTGCGGCAGACAGGGCAGTCGTCCCACGATGCCATTCCGGATAGCAAACGCGACGCCCGCGTCCTGTCGCTCTGCCTTGGGGAGACCGCTCCAGAAGAAGGTGTAGCCGGCACCGACCTTCTCCAATTGGCCCTGTTCGGAGAACCCGATCTCACTGAGTGTACTGATGTCTACCTTGTAGTGCGCCAGCTCCAAATCCATTAGCGCCGTCCTCCGTTCCGGTCGGTTGCTCCTAGGATTGACTAAAAGGGAACGAACATTCCAGGTTGCCAGAGTGAGCGGACTCACCCTACAGTTGTAGCGAATGGGACGGCGGGCAGGGGGGGGGTGGGGGAAGAGAGTGTGTTGTTTCTTTTTTGGTCGTTTCGACCGTGAGTTTTGGGTCTGAGGTCACGGTCAGTCTGCAGACGGCGTGGATCCCCAGCATTTATTTAGGACGCCTTTCCTAGCCCCTTCCTCCTCCCGGGGGCGAGCAGTGCTCTCCTTAAAAAGGACTGCTCAGTTCTCCCAGACGGCTGCCGAACTCCACTATGGGTCACGGCTTTTGTTTAGTAAAAGGACGACCCGAGTTTGCCTGGACCTGCCTACGAGATCGCCGTAGGGCTTGAAGAGCGGAGGAGTGGATGAAGGACAGAGAGACGGGAAGCAGAGCATCCCCATCCCTCTTTAAGCGCACTGGTTGTTAAATATATGAGCGGTGAACAAACAGATTCACAAGAACGGCAGCTATCGCACAGCAAGTACAAACAGAACCAAGCAGACGGAGGGCAGGCAAGAGAGAACAAGCAGAAGCAGACAGAGGAAATTCAACGGAACGGCATTTAACTCACAAGAAGGACAAACACAAACAAGTTAATAGAAATCAAGCAAGCAAGAACAAGCAAAGCAAAGACGCAAAGCAATGTTTGTTTACCTGGGGGGCTCACTTACCTTGTGCCCTCCTGTGGCGTTGCAGATGGAGTCTCGTCTCGGAGACACCGAGGCGGTGATCCATCCGGCCATCGGCGAGTTACCGTGTGCGGCGGTGCACTCACGTATATCCTCACCTGGTTTAGCCGGTCAGTCGAGACGGTTACTGGAGTGTGGCCGCTAGGCAGAACCTAGCTCCGGGGAGCCGCATGTGAGATTTGGGTGACAATAAATGGACCTTGGACGTATTCTACACCTGCAAGCAAATGAGCGACCTATTACGACCGTCACGTGGACCCAACTGGACGCCCTCAATAACTCAAACAGGAGCATCCCCACAAGACGATAACTGCATGTTTCCACCAGCAGTTTGTGTAGGACCCCCAGCAACCAACTGACACTTGCGGAAGAGAGACTATTGTTCAGAATGATATTACCGACAAAGACAAGGAAGACTGGAATGGCCATTTCTGGCTTAGTAGACATCGCCAGCCAGTCATACCCAACCCCGAAGTGTGGCACGCCCGAAGCTCGAACTCGCGACCTGTTTGTTAGAAGTCCACGCCTCTAACCACTGGGCCACGAGCCCGTTGCCCTGTCGGTTCATGGCGCTGTGACCCGCCTGACACTTGAAATCACGTGGAGCGTATGCGCGCTTGACTCTTGTCCCCAATACTAACACGGCGGAGCAGAACACGACCAGCCAATGAAAAGTGTGTTGAGAAACTGCAAATCAAGTCTAACTGGAAAGTAACGCGTATTCCATATCGACCCAATTGTTAAAAACTCGGCGCCTCGGTGGGATTCGAACCCACGCAGTATGGAGAGGGCTTTAGTACAGCCAACTCGCGTTATCCGGCGGGCCTTGTAGTTGAAGTGGTTAGAGTGTTGGCTGTACTAAAGCTTCCTCCTTACTGCGTGGGTTCGAATCCCACCGAGGCGCCGAGTTTTCCACAATTGGGTCGATATGAATTATTCAAAATCTGCCAAAACCTCTATGAATAACGCGTATTTATAACACCCTATTGGGATTCGCCTGCAGTCGGCCTAATGCACTTCGACAAGGGAATCCTAGACGAGCTGATCGTTTACTCGCATACACGGGTCGATCAGGGAGCAGCCAGAGGCGATGCGCAACGATCGTACTGACAGCGCGCTTGAGAAAACGCACGCGACCTCCAACGACTGGTTGGCTCTTGTTTTTGGGAGTGCAGTCACTCCCAACCAATGGTGAACTGCTAGGCCTGTCCTTTCAGTATTCGCTCGCCCAATTGGCTGGCGTACAGCCATGTCCTGTGTACCAAGATAGCAATCCGTCGAATTTATAAATTCCTATTCACTAGCGCCCTAGGGGACCCTTCAACTTGTCGATTACCCGGCATCGGCCACGAGTCCTTGGTTTGCATGAAGTCATTTGTCGGGAGATAAATTGCTGGCTGACCCTAACCACGTCGGTTGCCATCTTAACAATGCCAATGGTCGTAAAACCAATTCTTTTGACCCAGAGTTTTTGACTTTATCAGTCCATATGGAATGGGCGTCATGGAAAAGTGGACCAGAAACGATGAAGTAGGTCCATGCCTTTGAGAACGCAGGAGAGAAAGTGACCGTCGAGGGGTGTTTGCTTGGTATTTCGAGCGAGTTTGGAAACAAACAAGTTGCCGGGCTACCTTCTGGCAGTTAG